ATTCATAGTCTACAGTAGGCCTATGTTTTGAAATTCATGAATGCAAGTTCGTCATAGTTTGAGTTTAAAATTTCTACTTCTACTTGCTCATGACAAAGACAAATAACAGGTGAAATGAGAGGTTTTTGGACGGTTGGACACAGATTTAAAATTCCAATGTTATTCTTATGGAGAATATTGTAAAATGTTGTAATTTGCTTGTTTATGGATATATTTTGATAAAACTTGGCAAATTATTCATTTTACACTAAGCTATTAATATTTTACTAAAAAGCCCCACAGTAGTTTCCTTGTAGCAGCAAACTTAGGTACTCGTTAAACCTAATCTATAATATTAAAACGAAACAGTGTTTTTTTTATTTCACGATTCTGAATCAACCACTCAACGGATTTTCATGATTTTTGTGTTGAAAGAAAGATAATTTTGAGAACTAGGGAATGTCGAAGCCATAATTTTAGTTTAGGGTCCCAGTTTTTTAGAAATTAGGTTTTAATTTTTAAAAAGTCTAGCAGCCGATGCTAAGATTCTAAACTAGCTTTTGGCATAAAATAATTTGCTTAACATAACAGCTGTAAACATTCAGCTTTTGTGTCACAAATTCAGCATTTGGATCAAATTAAAAGATATACTAAGGGTTTACTTATTTATACTATGTGTAATGCAAATCATTGATACGTTCAATCCTTCGATAAGAGGATGACGGATTATTTAAATATACATAGTAAAATACTAGGATGTTAAAATTATTTTTTAAATGAATCTTTGTAATCTTCGGTTTGTTTTAGTGCAATATAATTTGTTTTAACTAACAGCTGGTTAATTATAAAAATGCCCTATAGAGCTATGAAGTTATTTACTCTGATTTTGCCATTGAATATAGGAAATAAGTAAGATAAGTAACACCATCGATGTATACAAGTCGAGGCTCTTTACACGAGTAAAAAAAAAGTAATATGCAAATTATTTTACTCCTCAACTTCTATGGAAAGGGTAGGAAAATCACAATTTATACATGTTTTAATTCATCTTGGCAGCTTATTGTTTACAATCAATGTTTTTGAATCCTTGAACTTTGTTTGGATTAGGCCGGAAATATTGATGTCATAAAGATGGATATCAAGAATCCTCAGGAATACGATTTTAAATTACCACCACAACCTCAGACGGGTTTTATCCAAAGATATACAGATGAATGACATAGATTGAACACAACGTCATCATTGACCTAGGATACTGCAATTAGACTAACCATCCTTTTATGAAATATAAAAAGTTGTTTGGCGTGTGTTTAGTTGTGGTTACGTTTGTAGGCGCTGAATATTGTATAGTTTAAATAAATGAATATGGGGAATTACGATGTACATTGATTCAATGAGGGTGGTTTGCGGTGGTTTGATTATCAATAGACAATTAAATTACGTCACTAGCTTTACTAGCGTTTTTACTTTTTAAATTCCTTCAACATGTGACCAGTTATTTTGTTCAAATGAATATTATTTTATTTTTGACTCAGCTGTTTACAAAACAAACTAATATGTTGTTGTGTTTACTTTTCTTTGTTTACACTTATTTATTCAGCAATTTATGCAGTGAAATTGACATAATAGAGGATTTGTGTGGACGATTCGTTTAATGATGTCAGGACACCAACGTTATAATTATGTGTACTGTAAATTTTATTGGATGTTTTCGTTTTATTTTAGGGAGTTTCAATTCAGACCTACTGGAAATTGTGTATGAGTAATTGTATTGTGGTGATATTGATTATGGAAGAGGCAGGTATGCGATGGAAGGTGATATCATTGACTAGACCTATACACTTCTCAATTGATAATTACTCTTTCTACTCAAGGCTGCAATAAAATTTGTCTTTATAGGTGTAAACTATAGCTGTTCTGAATTATAGGCCTACACAGTTTTAACTGACTACTCCCGTGCGTAGGACGGGCTATCACCTCGTGTTATTTAAATAGATTTAATTAAAAATCAATTCAGACAAATGGAAATTCGCTTAGTCGGCAGGTTCGCTGTGGCGGGGGTATTATTTTTCATGTTGATGTCCCTAAAGGCCCGAAACACTATTCCTTAATATTCTTTACGTAACACGTCCATGAATGCAATTGCTCGACTAACTTTATGCTCATTTTGATCTTAAAGGTCTAGACCAATCTGAATCTTTGTGGTAACTTAAAAAAACCTGGTATATTTTGATAATTATCTTATTTGTTATTTCCAATATTCGTGTTTATTTTTAATATTTGTATCAAAGCAATAACACGTATACATTATTGATTTCATAAAAATTTAGGAATCATTATATTCATATCCTTTAGGTTTTATTGTTGTTCAGATTTCTTATGCTTAGGTTACATTGTTTAAAAAAATTTATTGTTGCAAAATTTATGGTATGTAAAAGCAGTCAATAGTTAGACGTAGATATTACATTTATACATCTATTAAATTTAAATGATTTAATGTTTTCATTTAAAATTATTTTGTTTCTTTTTGAAAAAGGTAGGTGTGTGTTACTTTGTTGACTTTACTGTAATGTTGTATTGCTGTTTGGACTGTACAGGAAGATTCTCTTAGAACTCTGTCACATTACTACAGTTAACTATGCGATAAGATAGTCTTCAAACTACCTAAGGCGCTTCAGTATAACTTCCAACTCTGCAGTTTGAGCCGCTTTGGAGTACAATGATTTTGTCTTGAATATTGACTTTCAAAAACAATAAAACAACAAAAAAGTTATAAGTATATCTGCGTCATAATTTTAAGTGGTTTTTTTGTTTTTTTTTACAAAAAGGCATTTACGTAGGTTTGCGTATAAAGTTTACACGTTCAGCCTCTAGATCACGTTTTTTATAGAAAAATGTTTAAATACATGTTGTACTGTCGGTGATTCGCATTTAGTCAGCGACCTAGGTTTCGAACCTTAAAGGTTAATTTTTAGGTTTACAACCAAAACGAAAATCCTCTACATTCCTGGGGTTGTGAAGAGTCGTGAAATAATACTTATATGAACACGAAAACATTAACATTAAATTTGGCCAAATTATAATACTCTGAGCGGTCACGTGGTGCAGTCGGCAAAAGATGAGTCATGACTGGACCTTAATCCACATTTTTGAACATTTTTGCAGTTCTTTTAGCTATTTTATCAGCCATGATAGTTTCTTTGTTCCTAATTGCTACATATTTGGTCCTAGTCCGTAATCTAGACATCTTTGGTTGAGGTAAAGGTTATCAACGGTCTTGATAGTTTTAACTTGATTTTCTTGTAGTTGTATGCTATTTTTGCTTGACAAACACCTAATAGAAACATATTTAGCCTCTGGATCACGATGTTTACAAATAATAAAAAGGTTACCTGTTGTACCTGATGGTGATCCGTAGTTAGTCAGCAACCAAGGTTGCACCTAAGTACGGATCACAGACGGTACAACGAGTATTTAACCTTTTTTTATTATAAATTGGTTTAAATACCTGCTTCTAGTAATCCAATAGTTGCAATTTTTCGTCACGCAACTAGTTTCGACTTCATACAGAAGTCATCATCAGGCGTCCAGTGGATGTCAAAATAATCACTTCATCTGAAGGTCGTCGATTCACACATGGTACATTCACACGCAAACACGCACACGAACACGAACATAGTCACATAAAAAAGGTACATTTACAACGATAATACGGATTAATGGTAACTTAGGATGATGCGTCGCGACCGGGTGAATGTAGCGTCTAGACTGCCGGTCAACGTGTTCGGTCGGCGCTGTGACGTCACTGTTTTATTATTTTATAAGGACTTTTTTATTATTTGACAAGGCTTTTATTCCTTTTGAACATAATATAGGTTGAGGTTAGTTATTGGTATTAAAACTAAATATAGATCTTTGCGTGACTGACTTTAACTAATGAACTTCTCTTTTACAGAATTAAATATAGTATAATATTATAAACACGGTGGAAAGCTAATTATGGCAATAAATCCAAATATGAATACACGGTTATTAACATAAATTCACGGCTGGAATATTAGCGTTATACCTGTTTTTAACTGGTACGCCGACGAACAGCAAGCTAGTGACGTCACGCCAAAAGAAAAGGACTATTAACGGTCGAGGAAATTTACCCTTTTTTTTAACTGTCTTAAAAGGCTTTCAATCTATTATTGAATAACCAACAATATTACTTCAAAAAGGACTCTTGATTTTAAATCATAAGTGTAAAATAATACTAATGATTTAAAGGGGCTTTTTAACTAAGTTTCCATGCTAATAATGATTTTATTAAGTTTCAGTGATTTTTACCATGACTTAATGGGGAAAACATTTTATTACGATATTTCACACAGTAAAACTAATGAAGGATGTATAATATAGGCTATGAAATATAGAAATTAAAAATAACATTACATAATCAAAGCTGCGTTGTTCAGTTGTTTATCTTGAACATGCAATATTAAAAAAAAAAAAAATTAAGCCAAAATACGAGATAGTACTTTATAACAAACTTGTTAAGTAGGTAGCAATTTAAAATGACTAAAAGCTCTTCCAAAGGAACAATGTAAAACTTTGGTATACACCAAACCTAGCACTTAACCGTAAATGTTTCTCAAGAAATTACCAAAAGGGTTTACACAACTTATCATTTAACTTATATTTAACTTTCTGAAAATTTACCATGGCAGTTTGATAACATTTATTGTTATTGTTTGATTAGCCTAAGGTCTGATCTTAATTTTTTTCTTCTTCAGGTAAGACGAAGTTGTAATGTTGTATTTTACAGCTTTAGCTAAGCATAACACATTACCGTTCAATTAATACGTTTTATTTTAGAAAAATTACACTTTTAAACACATCATAGCGACATTTTACTCTTATATCATGTATATTATGAATTAAAAAAGTGCAAAGTTTTGTGTATAATCATAAGTAAAATAAGCTAAAAAAATCCAACAAAACCTGTTTCTCATTTAAATTATTATTACATTTCCCAGGGGTTGTTCCATCTATATCGTATTCAACCAGCTACATCACAGTCCTGTTCCAAGACTTCATCGTCAGGATGATACTCTAACTCAGCATCACGATTGTGAATTCTTTAATGACAGTGAAGCTGCACTGAAGAGGATCTTCTCCAACTGAGGGTGGATACCTGCCCTTCTTCTAGTTTCTGCGCTGTATTGTGTGTCAGGGGGCGAAAGCAGAGTACTGGGGATAAATTTGTGTTAATTTATCAATTACTTTTCCTCCACTACCACATGATCTTCTCCTAGTTTCTTTATTGAAGCCATAATTTTATTCTAGTCCAATATTGTCACCCTTTAATACTGTCTTGTTATTGCTATTTTTTCTTATGGAAATTTATATTTTCGCTGTTAAGTGTTCAATTTATATTTGATATACTTTCATCTCGATTCCTGTTCATATCAATATTGTTTAAATTTACTATCATAGCAATCTGGTCAATATTATTGTGCACTGTTCATACAGTATTGTTATTGTTAAATTTTTATAATTTATATTTGTACTGTTAAGTTTTCACATTTTAGCGAAATTCCCATATAGGGAATAACCTATTACCTATAGGTTTCATGGTACATGGAATTTCATGGTTTCATGGTAGATCTGGGACCGATTTATTTTGAGGTCCCTAGAGGCCAAAAACACCATCCGTTCAAATTTAGATATATATCCGTAAGCACGATAACTCGAGCAAAAATTATCCGATTTTGATGAAATTTTATACAAACGTGCAACAAACGGGGTTCTTTTAGGGGTAAAAATTGATTTTTCCTATTTTGACCCTAAAAACACAATTCCATAATTTCTCTCCAAACTATTTTGTAAAGCTTAAGAAAATAAATAATTTTGTATGTTGAAGTGTTGTTGTATACCCAATGGTTAAGGAGATAATTTACAAAATTGTAAACTTAAAATTCCCATGTTATTCTTATGGAGAACTAATAAACTATTTCTAAACGAAATGGTTTTTAGGTGAGGTCAATAATTCAGGTAGACAAGTATTTTTGGGCATCACTCACCTTATTGAAATCAGGAGAGCACAGTCCTTGTCACACAAAAGTTCATTGTACGCACACATTGATAAAAAATACAAAAATAAAAATAAAATTACTTTTAGCAAACTTAAGTCTGTATTTTATTTTATTTGTTATCAACGTGTGTGTATAACTAACTGTTGTGTGACAAGGACTGTGTTCTCCTGATTTCAATAAAGTGAGTGATGCCCAAAAATAATTATCCAACTGAATAAGTAATTGTAATTTGCTTGTTTATGGATATATGTTAATGAAATTTATAAATTTTGTTTATTTCATACTAAGCCATCAACATTTCAATAAAAAACACACCTCAATATCTTCCCTGTAGCATTTAACCATAAACCTACTCCTTTTAAAGTACTCACTCAAATTAATGTTATTTAAATAGGAAATAAATCTGTTAGGAACTTTTAGGGAATAGTTTAGTAGAAATCCAGCCAGGTAACGGGAAATTCGCTTAGACTGCAGGTTTGCTGCGGGGGTATTTTACATTTGCAATGTTTCATTCATGTTTCATGTTTAATTCAAAACCAAGACTATTGCATGTTTTTTCTTGTTTTGCCGGTGTTGTATGTTCACCGTAAGAAAATTTTTAACACTCTTTTGTTGTTGTTAATCCCAGCTAAATTTGTTAATTAGCGTTAGCATGCATTTATAGAGCAAAATGTTAAGGTTATTACATGTATTAAGTATTAATATAATCCACAAATCTTTATGCATGTAATTGTTTGTAAAATTGTGATTTTGCTGTGAATAAATAACAACCCACAAAGTATTACAAATATTTCTGTGATCTTACTCCAACATTTGTTCAGCTCACATCTGCGTCACTTGACTGACAGCATCGTTATTTTGTATCCAGGGCTTTACTCGCAGTAACATCTGCTGTCGTCTGCTGTGAATGATGGTTGAAGTCGAGAGCGAAGACAGTCCGTGTTTTAATTGTTCAGTAATAATTACCCATGAAGATAATGGTTTGCTTTGTGATGGATTTTGCCGCAAATGGTACCATCCAACGTGTGTGGGAATAAACAATGATGAATATTTGCAAATCAATAGTTTATCGGAGAAAGTGAAGTGGTACTGCACAACTTGTACTTCAAAAATTGACAAGATAGTTTCCAGAGAATGGGATGTCGAGGATATATTTAATCTCCACGATACTGTCCAGAAGCTGGTTAGTGTTGTAAAGGGTGTTGTGGATGATAATCTGTGTTTGAATGATCGCATTGACGAGATAAACTCTAAACATAATCAACTACATAACCTAGTTCAAAATCAAGCCCAGGATCTAGACATCTGTCGTCGTCGTCTGCCTGTACAGACGCGAAGCGGTAAAGACTCGATTGTACTCGAACGTGAACGACTATCGACCACAGCGGTTGATCAACTATCGAACCAACATATCGATGTATCGAACTCTACAACCGTATCTGATTCTGATGTAAACAAACCTGAAATTGAAGCTGTCAGTGTCAATAGTGTTATTCATGGCAGAAATAGCAATTATGATACCAAATTTCCACCTTTTCTTGGATCAGGTCCTTCTGAGGGACAGAAAAATAACGACCAACCTACATGGAAATGAAATGAAATGAAATGAAATGAAATGAAATGAAATAATATTTTATTTCCCATTAATTATTTACAGACAAGTACATTGTATTTTTTTCTTTTCTTAAATATGAAACAGCAAAATATTACTAACTAGCTAACAAAACAAAAATTATATACTGTAGAAATAAGTAAATAAAAGTGTTAAAAAAAAATACATTCTATAAGAAAGGAAAAAGTCTACATAGGCAGGGCCTGTGCGTAGACTGAGTTGCGAAAAGATTAATTTAAATGGGAAGTAAAAAATATATAGGAGAAAAAAATCGTATAATTTAAACCTTTTTTTTTATTTGTCTTGCTTGAAGCTGAATTTTTAGTGTTCTGGAATAAATTGACGGTAAAAAAAAAAAAAAAACTCTTTGTGCAAACAGAGGTAATTTATAATATCTGGTGAAGGTTGAAGAGGAGAGGTGGGGTGTAGTGTATTAGTCAGTCAGTGAAAGTGGTGTATCAGTGATTGTGTAGGGTCAACGGTCAGGTCCGCCCAACGCGATAACGGCCTCGGTGTCCTCTGTACTCAGACCAACAAGCCACCCCACAACATGCTTCTTAAATAGAGAGAGAGAGGGTGAATTTAGAATGTTGACATTTTGATATCTGTTACACATGTTACGATAAATGATTTGGGTTAAGTGAAAGCAATTCGTATTTGAAAATGATTTGAAAGTTTGTGGAACACTTACACCAACATTTCGAGAAAAGCGCGTATTGTGGGAATGAGTAATTTTTACAAAAATATTATCAAAGTTTTTGTACATGTGAACTAAAATAAATTTTAAAAATAACTGCCTGACTGTCAAAACTCCCGATTCTACAAAAAGATCGTCAGTTGAATATCTAAAGTGTTTTTTAAAAGCAACTTTAAGTATTGTTTTCTGCACTACAAAAACAGGTTGCAAGATAGTTTTGTAAGCACCACCAAAAGCAATAATTCCAAAAGACAACAATGATTGAACATATGCATAATATGCTATTTTAATTTCTTGCTCTTCGAGAATATCACTAAGTTGCCTAAATGCATAAATATATTTACGTAATTTATTTTTCAGGTATTCAACATGTTCCGACCATTTCATCTTTGAATCAAAAACAATACCAAGATATTTGTATGAATCAACTTTTTCAATTTTGCTACAAAAACAAGAGTTATTGAAATGATTTCCACAGACATGAATAGTTAGGTTATCAAGTTTGTATTCGGTTATCTTGCGTAATGAAATTGGCATAAATTTTGTTTTAGATATATTAAGGGACAATACATTTTGATCAAGCCATTTTTTTAGTAAACAGAGGTCTGATTCTGCCTTGTTTTTCACCTCCTCCCAGGATGCTCCGGTTACAAATATTAGAGTATCATCAGCAAATAATGTTAATTTTCCTTCTGTTTGAATTTTAGAAATATTATTAATATAAATGAGGAATAAAACAGGACCAAGGGTCGAACCCTGGACTACACCATACTCCACTGACAATACATCGCTTGCCACTTCACCAAGTGCGACAGTTTGCAGCCTATCAGAGAGGTAGCTGCTGAACCAAGCGAGCGAGGTGCCACGCACCCCGACAAGCTCAAGTTTACGCAACAATCTACTTCTGTCCACTGAGTCAAAAGCTTTTTTCAAGTCTAAGAAAATTAACATGCTTCGTTTGTTGCCATAAATTGCCTCGTTAATGTATTTATTAATATCAAATAAAGCATCAGATATGTTTTTGTCACTCCTGAAACCATACTGATTTTCACTTAAAATATTGCACTGGTGGAGGTAAAAAACAAGTTGGTCTTTGGCAATTTTCTCTAAAAGCTTAGCAATTACACTTAACAAAGAAATCGGACGATAGTTATTCATGTCTGTGAAATCATTAGATTTGTGCAATGGAATGATCTTGGCCAATTTCAGCTCGTTTGGGAATATACCAGATGTCAGGCTAATATTGACAATGTGCAGAAGAGGAGCACATAGAGCGTGGATGTTTTCTTTAAGAACAAAGGCCGAGATACCATCATGGCCAGGTGCAGACCCTCCGCGCAGACCCTGGACGTAACGTTCTATGTCAGCGTGTGTGACCGTGTTGAATGTAAAATTCGTGTCAAGTGAGAAGTCAGCGTCGTTTACGACTGGAGCCCCAGCTGAATTTATTGAGTTGGCCAATTTAGAACCTACTGATGTAAAAAAGTTATTGAAATCGTTTGCTATTTTAATCTTAATGTTCGCATTATTCGAAGAACCAGGTAAAACTTTTTCAAATGGGAAATGGTCCTTAGTGCAATTCCTGCCTGATATTTCACTAACTATGCCCCAAAATAATTTTGGATCCCTGTTAGATTCTGAAATTTTACCCCTATAATAATTTTTCTTTGCAATTTTTATGTTTTGATTTAAAGATAGGCGCAGGGCCCTGAATCTATCTAGTAGTAATAAATTAAACGGTTGGGTTTTGATCTTTTTACTTAGCTTGTCTCGTTTTCGAATTAATTTTATGAGATCTACGGTAATCCAAGGCTTTATTTTTTTAAATCTTGTAGAGTGATGTTTGATTGTTTTAGTTGAGGCTTTGATGCAGTTACTCAGTGTCGAACAAAAACATGCTGTGCACTGATTAACCTCGTGATTGCTCATGATTGGACTCCAGTCTGTTTTTGTAATATGTTCAGTTAATGTAGCGTGATCAATGTAGGTGCGAAATTGGTTCTGTGACTGAGTTTCAGTTCCTGTAGGTGTATGAATGGTGTTAGTGATTGTAAGAGCAGTGCTGTAATGGTCAGTGATATGAGAGTGTATGACAGCAGATTTGACTCGTCTCATATCTTGGAAACGGACAAAAATGTGGTCAATACAAGTAGATGTGTTGTGTGTCACTCTGGTCGGCTTGTCGATGCACTGGACTAGTCCAGCGCCTAGTAAAGTGTTTAAGTAACGATCCGTTATTGCATCAGTTTTGTGTAAGTCGATGTTAATATCACCCAAAAAGATACAGTTAGTATCTTTACTTATGCGATTATAATAGCATTCCAAACCAGATATAAAATGATCAATTTCACAATCAAAAGTCCTATAAACAGCTAACAGATTGAATGTTTTATTAAAAAGACTGAATTCCAAAGAAATACCAAAAACTCGGTTGATGTTTACTTGTGTTACGGTAGCAGACAGTTGTTTGTTGATGAAAACAATGACTCCGTCATTTTTGTTGTTTTGTGTATCTGTCATTGTACAGTCAAACCCGTACAAGTGACCCACCTCCCCCCCGCTCAACCAACACTCTGATAAGACGATGATATCTAGATTAGCATTCAAAGACTGTAAATACACTGA